AGTTAAAGAGAACTAAAGGAACAGAAGCCAGAAACAGACCCAAATGTTAAAAGTGAAGAATTTTTTTTTTTTTTTGACACAGAGCCTCAAGCTGTCCCCCTGGGTAGAGTGCTGTGGCATCACAGCTCACAGCAACCTCCAGCGCCTGGGTTCAAGCGATTCTCCTGCCTCCGCCTTCCAAGTAGCTGGGACCACAGGCGCCCGCCACAACACCCGGCCATTTTTGGTTGCAGCCATCATTGTTGTTTTGGCGGGCCCAGGCTGGATTCGAACCTGCCACCTTAGGTGTATGTGGCTGGCTCCTTAGCCACTTGAGCCACAGGTGCCAAGCCAGGCAACTCAATTTTTAAATGGGCAAAAAACTAGCTAAATACCCAAAAAGCATATGAAAATATGTTCAGTATCATTAATCATCAGGGACATAAGAATAAAACCGTGAGACAGCACTACACACCTATCAGAATTGCTGAAATTGTATAAACTTAGACACAACCAGGTGTTGGCAAGGATGTGGAACAGATGAATGGAATTCTCATACACTACCAATAGGTGTATAAACTATTGGAATCGTTTTGGAAAACTGACAGTATTCCTAATAACCCAGTACTGGAAACAGCCCAAATGTCCATCAACAGTAGAATGAATGAATGAATGGACAAATAATTGCAATATATTCATATAATCAAATACTATACCACAATGAAACAAAGCAATCAAACACTATATACAAAATAACAAAATGTATATAAAACTCACAAATATGTTTAGCAAAAAAAGCTGAATCAAAAACCTAAATGCATATCTAGTGATTCCATAATACCATTTATATCAAGTCACAAACAAGCAAAACTCAGCCTGAACATAAAACCATTACCACAAAAAATAAAAATATTGGCCAAGCGTAGGGGCACATGCCTGTTGTTCCAGCTACTCTAGAGACTAGGTCAGGAGAATTACTTGAGCCTAGGAGTTTGGCTGCAAGTGAGCTTATGATGACACAACTGCACTCTAGCCTGGGCGAAAGAGCAAGACCCTACCTCAAAAAAAAAAAAAAAAAAAAGAATCTACAGGCAAACAGCAAACTACTAGTTTCAAAGGATAAATCATTAGCCTCTAGCCTCTAAAACTTTTTTTTTTCCAGACAGAGTCTTAGTCGCCCTGGGTAGAGTGCTGTGGCATCATAGGTCAAACTCCTGGACTCAAGCAATCCTCCTGCCTCAGCCTCTCAAATAGCCGAGACTATAGGTAACCGCCACAATGCCCAGGTAGTTTTTCTATTTTTAGTAGTCATGGGGTGTCCCTCTTGCTCAGGCTGGTCTTAAACTCTTGAGCTCAGGTGGTCCACCCACTTCAGCCTCCCAGAATGCTAGAATTATAGGTGTGAGTCACTGTGCCTGGATTAAAAGTAAACTATTAAAAATCAAAGAATCTACCGGTAAACAACAGAATGAATAAACCAAACTGGTATAATTGTACAAAGGAACCCTATGCAACAATGTAAATGAATGAATTACTCTTTCAAACAACTTGAGTGAATCTCACAGAATGTTGAAGGAAAGACATCAGAAATAGCACACACTAAAGAGTTTCGTTCATACACTTAAAATTAGCCAAACTGGGCAGCACCTATGGCTCAGTGAGTAGGGTACCGGCCTCATATAGCAAGGATGGCGGGTTCGAACCCAGCCCCAGCCAAAGTGCAACAAAAAAATAGCCTGGCATTGTGTCGGGCACCTATAGTCACAGCTACTTGGGAGGCTGAGGCAAGAGAATCAGCTAAGCCCAAGAGCTGGAGGTTGCTATGACACCACAGCACTCTACCGAGGTGGACAAAGTGAGACACTGACTCTAAAAAAATTAAAAAATAAAAAATAAATTTAGCGAAGTTAACCCATGACATTAAGACTCATCCTGGTTCATGGCTAGTGGATAATGGTTACTTGGAGGGAGAATGATTGGTAGTGCATTCAGGGAGAATATCTAGAGCTCTATAATATTCTACATCTTCACCAAAGTGATTGTTATGTGGGTGTACTCACTGTATGATAGATAATTCATTCAGCTGTATACTTCTGATTGGTGGACTTTCATGCACATATGCTATACCTCAATGTTTCAAAATAGTTTATTACAAAATCTTTAAATCATATTCCACTACTTAAAACATTTTAATGGTTCCACATAAGCTAAAAGTGAAACAAAATCTAAGCTGTGAAGCATGGCAAAACATGATATGGCTCCTATCTTTAACTTAATCCTCATCTTTGTCCATCCCCCACATCCTCTTTATTTTCCAGGACATGATATTCTCCTTCAACCTTCCTGCCTGTAGATGTTGTTTCCATTAGTTGAAATTCTCTCCCTCTTTATACTCCACCCACACACTGCCCCTGAAATTTCCACCTGACTTAGATATTAACCCCTCCAGGATCCTGCTATATCCTTCTATCCCCAAATAAATCACTCTCCTTTCTATATTTAGCAAAAAACTACTATCACATGCATCCAGCTATGCCATAACAGTCTATTCACACTTTCTTGTACCATACACAACTCAAGCACAAGGTCAAAATTTTCATGTTACCAATGCCTACCATGAGGCTTGGCACATAGTGGTCACTCTACAAATTTCAATCTTATGTATATTTCCTTACTAATGAAACTATAAAAGTATCTAGGATGAAGCTCAAGCCTCATACTTCCTCCACAGCATATACCATGGCAATGAGTATACCATAGGCAGGTCTGATATACCATGGTGTATCACATAATAGTGATGGTTTAGCTAGTAGTGGAACATGTACAAAAAATTCTATGGACAATGGTGGCACCCGTAGCACAGTGCTTACAGCACCGAGGGTGGCAAGTCTGAACCCGGCCCAGGCCAGCTAAACATCAATGACAACTGCAACAAAAAAATAGCCGGGCATTGTGGCGGACACCTGTAGTCCCAGCTACTTGGGAGGCTGAGGCAAGAGAACTGCTTAAGCCCAAAGATTTGATGTTGCTGTGAGCTGTGACACCATAGTACTCTACTGAAGATGACATAGTAAGACTCTATCTCGAAAAAAAAAAAAAAAAAA